CTCCATGGAGTTTGCCATTAAATTCAGCTGGAATTCCGAATAGATTAAAGTTGACTGGATCTGTGTCAATCTCGGCTTTAGCAGATCCCTTCAGATGAACATTTCTCTAAAAAAATAAGAATTTGGAGATATAATAGTAGTTTTTTCTGGATTTAAAATATAGCAAAAATTCAAAAATTAAATGTAACATTAATGGCTATAAAAATTTGTAAATTTTAAATCGGGTTAGGACTTAATAGAATGTATATTTCTGTTATTTATAATTAGAGAAAAAATTACGTAAATAACAATTGTTTGTAATGTCATTTTCTATAATTTTTGTCATATAAATGATTTATGATATTTTTTTTTCAGTATTTTTATTAACAATGAAGATATCAAAAAAATGTTTCGAAAAAAATTTGTCTCGAAATTTTGTATTAATATTTAAAATTTAAAGATTTTTATGAATTTATTCACAGATAAAATTCTTATTTCGTGTTGTAAAAAATTAAATCATTCACTAATTTAATTTTTTGTTTCAGGTATAAGCTCTAATGACACTATTGGTATGTTTTTTTTTTCTAATTTAAACATATTATTGAATAAAAAGTGGACACTTTTATACATTAACAATAATGCTATCTTCTATTCTAAAACATCAATATGCATGAATAAGCAATTTAATAAGTAAAAAATCGACGATAGCAGGGTCGGTTCTTAAGATATTTAGAATGACATTTATTATTTTTATTATAGCGCCTATGTTTGTATAAATAAAAAAATTAGAGGAATTTCTTGTTTATTTCTTCCATTTGCTTAAATTGTTAAAGTCAAATTCACAATAAGAAGAATCTTAATAATGATTTAATTAGTTAAAAATAAATAAATGTTGCATCTAAGTGTATTTGGGTAAAAACGAATATATTTATAAGTAAAAATATTAACCCAAATTTGATGGTAGAATCTAGAAACAACCGATAAAATATTGCTTTTGATATGGAAAACCCCACATGAGGATTAACAATAAATTTAACAAAAAAAAATTATCCTAATTTATATTATTATAAATATTTAAAAATGGAATAATAATAAATCAAACGAAATAGTAAATAAAGGGGAAATATTACCAAGAAATCACCTGTAATTTTTTTTGTATTATATAAATTCTTTAAATCAATTTTTTTTATCACAGGAGTCTATAGTTAAGGTGTGTCCCAATCTTCTGGAGACGCCCTATATGACATAATTACTATATAATTTTAAATAAAAAAATTGAATGCAACTAAAATATGTTTTTTAGCTAACATTTCATTTGTGTTGATATGACATGAAACGAAAGAGCAACAGTTTTTGTACGTTGTGTTCTTTATTGATGGCTGGAGGGGATTCCCCCATTCGTTCAATTTTGGTTTAAAAAAATGATGTAATGTGAAGATTTTGCCCAATTAAATTACTGAAATCCCGCCCAAAATAGTTTTACACTCATTATTAATTGAATTTACTAATGAATTGCATTTTCTTACCAATTTGTGTTCATGAGAATTTACATCTACAAGAGCGGCGACAATGAAAATTAATATCACACGCGGATACATCTTAAAATAATAAAGAAAACAAATGAAATAATAATTATATTTTTATTAAATTGTTAATGTAGGCGATTGTTGACATTTCTTAATTAAAATTCGAAATAAAGATATTGTTATATACAGATGGTGGCGACGTTCAATATTAGTTTCATAAAAATAAAATGAAATGTATTATACTAGTGGTGGTGGTGGAATTGGATTATAGTTTTAATTAAAATTTCCATTTCTTTTTATTTTTTACATTTTTATTCTTTTTTTTTATTTTATTTGTATAAAGTATATAATGTAGGTCGATATACGAAATGGATTTAAATTTTTTTATAACAAAAAAACCTAAAATCTATCACTTTGAAAATTATGATTTTTGCTTTGAATATATTTTATAATTAATACTTTGCCGTAAGGAGGAGGAGGAAAAGGAAAAGCGTAGGAAGGAAGAAGAGGAGGAAAAGGGAAGGCATAGGAAGAAAGACGAGGAGGAAAAGGAAAGGCGTATGAAGGAAGAAGAGGAAAAGGGAAGGCGTAGAAAGGAAGACGAAGAGGAAAAGGAAAGGCGTACAAAGGAAGAAGAGGAGGAAAAAAGAGGAGGAAAAAGAAAAGGCGAAGATTTCCAAGAACAAATCGGAATACAGGCATTTATTGATAGACTACAAGATGTGGAAATGCAGCAAGCCCTTTGCATACAACATCACAAGACACTGAAGGAGAAACTAATTGCAGCACAGGAATATGAAGCGGTAAAACTCATATCTAGATCTTCTTGAGTGAAAGTGGAATAAATAAATTAAATCCCAGGAAAGGCTAATACTAATGCTATTACCCTCTTACAGATCCTAAATATTCTACAAAATATGCAACGAAACAGCCAAGATGGAAGCAGGAGATGCTTCAATTGCGGAAGAATCAGGCATCTTCAAAGAACCTGTAGAAACATGGCTCGTTTTATAAATCGAGAATAAAGGAATGAGACCGGATATAGATCAATCTTCCGAAGCCCGTCACGAAGCCCAACAAGAAATATTTACAGCAGCTATGCGTTCCGAAGAAGCCAATCACCCACACCGAGCCGACTTTTTAGCAATAATTAGAAAGTAGAGCATCGAAGAGGTTTCCATGGCAACGCAGATATTCTCTCCGGGCGACCGTGTTTAGAAGGACAATGCTGGTACAGTAAAAGGCTCAAAGAACGAGAGGAACCGGTTGATAGTTACTTTTTGTGCAACCACTATCAAGCCAAAGGGCGACAAAGAAGAAATCAGCTTTGAAAGCCTGAGAAAGGAACAGAAGCATGACTTAAAGGTTGTAACGCCTACTTAGCAAGAGATAGCCAAATACAATGGAACTATAAAAGAGTACTGGACTCAGTGGGATTCCCTGTATCTTCACGATGGCCTATTGCAGCGGAAGTGGGATAGCCCTGATGGAATACATGTAGCTTGTCAAGTGGTACTGCCGAAGTCACATGTTAGAAGTGTGTTGGAGTAGCTTCATGGCAGCCGTTCGGAAGGACATTTTGGTACTAAAAGCTAAAAGGACACTGGCACGAGTTCGGGAAAGATTTTATTAGGCCAATTTTTGATGGGATGTAGCGGATTGATGTAAAACAGGTGATGTATGCAATGGCAGGACAAAGGTCTAGGGATTCGCTCAGGAACGTCTGAAAGCCAACAGCGATAAAGCAGAAGCTAGAATCGACAGGCGTACCACAAGAACACATTTTAAAAAAGGCGACCCAGTACGGTTGTGCAATCTCAAGCATCAAAAATCGCAACGGAACTGGGAAGGTCCCTACGCCGCCCTTAAGGAAAATCAACTACCTGATCTATCGCATTTAGCTGTCAGCGGAAGATACATCCAAGGTAATTCACATTGAAAATTTAGCGCCATGCCGTACTTTAAATCCTCCATGTTAGCTCCAATCAGATCCCAGTAGGAGGGAGTAATGTTACGCAGCACCCTGCAGCGTTCTGCAGTCGTCATAAGTAAAGATACGACTAAAAGAAGAAGGGGGAATATTCGAGAAATGTCATTCCATGTCAAGAAAGATCCGGATTGTTCGAGAAAGTTCTAGAAGGTTAAGGCAAGCTATATAAGTAGACGATCCTGACGTCAGAGTTCTGTTTGAAGATGGAAGAGGAAAAGGAATATTTTTTTACATTTTGAAATAAAACAAAATTATATTTTCAACCATTTATTTTTAAATTTACAGATACTTCGAAAAAGTAAATAAAAAATTATATATTATGCATTTATGACTTTATCTGGTTTTGCTTAATTGGTCTATTTTAAATGGGATTTAATAGATTTTTTTGAAATTGAAAGGAATAGGAATCAATAAAACTCATTTTTGTCTAGAAATATGGATTTATCTGGTTTTGCTTGTATTTATAATTTATTGTAAAAATAAAATTAAAGAATTATTCAGCATCTAATTCATACTAAATATTAAAATCAAATACTGCGGATTTGTCATTATTATTAAAAAACATACTTAAAGCCTTTTTTACGAAACAATATCTTTAAATGACACATTAAAATAATTTTTATTTTTTTTTTATAATAAACTGCAATCAGGCATTCCAACGACCTGTCCAAATGGCTACCAGTGGGTACTGACAGTTTAGATATGGCAACCCGGTTGTCATGTTGTCATTAACAAGGTCAATGATACATATATAGTTATATAGATTGCTCAAAGCTGGTCGTTTGCGAGCGGCCATATTGCTTGGCAAATATTTATTAATTTTTAAAACCAATTGTCAGCCTTTAGATATTTAAAAAATAATAACTGCTTACATTTTTACTTCAAGGCATAAGCTTATGTTTATTTTGAAAAATATGGATGATCAATCTATGTAACTATCTATTACATTGACCTTGTTAAATCACCAGGCCTACAGGGTTGCCATAATTTTTCCATATCATAACCTGTCAAAACCCACTGGTAGCCATTCAGTTTGGAATGCCTAATAGTTAGTATTCTTCTGTTGCACGGAGAAATGAGCATGCGGCTTTCTTTTACTTAGCAACGAAATAGCACGTGCAGTGCTTCTCTGTCACTCCCCACTCTCTTACTCAATTAATCCAAAATAAAATGCACCAACTTTTTTAAAGTCATCCCTATACCATCGGTTCGTAATAAAATGATCTAATTGTAAGTACATTTTTATATATAAATTGCTAAGAAAAAATTATGAAGATAAATAATAATTTATATCAGCTTACTTATTCATAACCCCGGTATTACGACCAGGAAAAGGGTAGCCAACCCTTCTTTGGTGTATTATTTACATATTTTACCCTTAAGTGGTATTAAGCTTTTCAAGAAAAAAACATTACACGTTATGTTTATTAATACATGACACATAAGTAGGAAAAAGTACATGAGGGAACATCAGGATTTTGTACTATAAGGTTTGTTCATTGTGCTCATTTATTTTTTAATGTACGTATGTTTCACTACCCTTTAACTTTCTAATTTAACCGATGTTTACTTTTAAATCTCAATGTTACCTTTGTAAAAATTGTAACATAAAATTTTATGAAAGTTTCCCGCCATTTAAAAATAATATTTTATAATCTCGTTTTCAAGTATTTAAGTTGGCAGAAATTTATGACGTCGTTAGTGTTTGTTGTTGCTCATTGATGTATTGTTCGTCGTGCTGTTCTCCAGTCACGGTATTCATTCCTCCGCCGCCCATGGAATTCGGAGCTCCAGCCATTGGGTTCATTCCCACATCCACCATGGAATTCATTCCTCCAGCCATTGGATTCATTCCCCCATCCATGGAATTCATTCCTCCAACCATTGGGTTCATTCCCCCATCCATAGGATTCATTCCGACATCCATGGTATTCATTCCTCCATTCATAGGATTCATTCCATCAGCCATGGGATTCATTCCTCCATTTATAGGAGTCATTCCACCAGACACGGAAGTTATTTCTTCAGTCATGACAGTCATTCCTTCAGCCGTGGAACCCATTTGTCCAGGAATGGGGCCGGATTTTGCACCCAATGGACCCAAACCAAATCCGAAACCCCCACCTATACCAAATCCTCCATTTTTACCACCACCAACTTGCACTAAACCAAATAATCTCTTCTTGCCATTTCGAAGATGTTTTTTTCGTGTTTCTGTAGGCATTAGCTCAGAATGCTTTGACTTTCCCTAAAAAAAAAAAAAACAAGTTATATAAAGGATAGCTATCAAGTCTAGATAACAACCCATATAGCACACGTCAATCCAAAAGATACCCATTGGACAAATGTCCTACTCCTGGACGTCCATTTGGACTCCATATTCGCTCCGTGCGAAGTCATGGAAAGGGAAGCAAAAGCGATACTAGCGCTAGCTGCGGATAATTCGTGCATTTTAGGGGGATATTTTGTAATTTTGGCATATCAAATACACGTATACATTTTACTTTTTTTCAAAAAAGTAGGTAAAAACAACACAATAAGCAACCGGAGTTGCTGTGTTGAAAATTGTACAAATACTAACAAAAAAAAACAGTGAAACTTATATAACAAATTTCACTAACAAAGTGGAAATTAAATCAAAGAAATAAATGGATAGGTGTACAATAAGAAGAAAAATTACCTTTATTTTTGTGATAATAACAGTAATGCTGGAAATAGTAGACATCAGAAACTAGAAAGTTTTTAAATAAACAATAAATTATCATTTTACGATGTTCTTTAATATCCCTTTATTCTTAAATGTTCATTCAGCAAGGACTAGATTTCAAGATTTCTGCCGTTGATTATAATATTTGGCAGGTATGCAATTTTATGACTTACTGATCGGAAACCAGTTTTAATCATTCATTCTATGTTTTCTTTAGAACAAAAATGAAAATATAAGTAGTGGTCCTTTTTATACATTTTAACTTCACGCTATTATAAATGGTTTCTTCAATGACAACTTATTAGACTTAGGCAACTTCTCATACATTTTCCAGTAAATACTGTTGCCTGCCTATATTTTATTATTGATTTTTAATGATTATACATAATTTTCTTCAATTTAAGCGTGAAAAATATATAATAATAATAAAAAATTAATGTTTTAATTGTTTTATAAATCCATATACTTTTATTAAAACTAACATATATACTTTTTATTTACGAATTCTATTAAAAATTGTATTTGTCAGTATTGGCAGACATACTCCTTTAATACCAAAACAAATTGGCGCTGCTGTCGCGCACGGAGCGAATATATTAAATTAAAAGTTAGATATTTCTTGTCTTATATTTAATAATTTTGTATTGCTTTCGAATTATTTATGGGCATTCGATGGATGTCGCCATAGACATTAATAAAAAATAAAATATTTGTATGAATACACTTATTGTAATATACAATAATATCAAGGAGATATTGGATCCTTTCGGTTTTATACGCACTTTTTTCTATCTTTATTTTTTAATTAACACCATTGTAGCTCTCAGCAACATCAGCAGATGAAAAAGACATTACGATTTTGAGAAAAAATGAGTCTTATAATCAATCTAAATAACAAACAGTATTACTTTTTTTATTTTCTAAGTAAACTTTTACTTCTGCTTAGGTCACATGCAATACCAATAAAAACTTAAATGTTTTTGTTTGGTTTGGAGTTATTTCTATGATTTAGGTACAATAATTGTGTTGACAGCATGTCAAAATTCCAACACATTTGCTTTTAATGAATCCATTATCTTGCATATATCATTTGACAACAGGTCTAAAAGAAAAGGATTCTTTGAATGGTATATTAAATTAGTATTAGTAGAACTAATAATTCTATTAAAAATTGTATTGTCAGTATACGCAAATATCGTCCGTTAGTTCATAAAATAGTTGGTGCTGCTGTCACGCACGGAGCGAATAACTAATGAAAATAGGCTGACTGGGCTATGCATGAGCGTACATTGAAAAATAATCAGAGGAAACAAAAATAAATATTGTTTTCAGTTATCGATGTTTTTGGTAGAGAAAAAAGAAATTTGTTTTTGTGTTTTTATAAATTTTTATTTTTTATTATTATGTATGGTTATGTCTTCTTGTTCATATTTTTCTTTTATATCACACCTTCTTTTTGCTTTTTAAAAATGTTTCTTAAGTTTCTTGTTTTTTTTATTATAGTTTTTGTCTGTTTTGTTGGGTTATTTTATTTATTCTAAATATTCTAATTTTTTTTTTAAATTTTGCCCCTCCCTATAGAATTGTGTAACGACGCCCATGAAATAGCTCGTGTCTGTCCAATTTTTAAGTCAGGAAATCCATCTCTACTAAATAATTATCGCCCCATCTCTGTTCTTGATAATTTTTCAAAGGTTTTTGAAATTGTATTTATATTAAAATTTAACCACTCACGAGGTACTTAATATCCGACTATCAGCATGGTTTCATGGCAAATAGATCTACTGTGACAAATTTATCTTGCTTCTCACAATTTTTACATGAAACCCTCGATGACTGTGGATAAGTAGATGTTATCTTAACTGATTTTGAAAAGGCTTTCGATAAGATTGACCGTATAATAATTGCTAACAAATTAAGTCAGCTTGGTTTTTCAAAATCAATGCAAATGTTCTTTCTTTCCTATTTATAACTAAAAAAAAAAAAACAGCCTATAATGGCTTCTCATCAAAACTATTTTTCGCTACGTCAGGGGTGCCCCAAGGTTCTAATTTAGGACAGTACACGGCGTATATCCTCCTCGAGGTTTTAACGAGCAAGTCTTGCGAAACCGATTTGCCATTCAAGCACTTGAAACTCGTAGAGTTGTAATGTCAATTTCAATTATTTATAAAATTATGCATGACCTAATTGATTGTCCAGTGCTTCTTGAACAAGTTGTTTTTAGTTCTAAGATTAAATGCGCGTGAGTATGAAACGTTTTCGTTGCCTACTCCTAGAACCAACATTTTATTGAAGTCGCCAATTTTTGTTATGTGTAATAATGTCAATATTTAATTGTGATCTGTTTTTTGAAAAGCTTTCACAAATCTCAAAATAAGTCATACCAAAATTATCAATTTTTAATAGTTGAAATGTATCCTGCCTTATTAATATTATTAATTTTTTGTATCTTTTTGTGTATTATTCATTTTAAAATATTTATATTTATGTTTCATGGCTAAGATTATTATTTATTCTTTGTATGAAATTATATTGTGTTATGTATTTATTTGTCCTATAATTGGATTTATTCTGTTGGGCAATAAAGTTTATTATTATTATTATAAAGTATAGGTAAAACATTTATTACATATAAAACAAAAATGTTAAACTTACTTGATTGTTTTAACCTCTGTACAACAGTAAGTAGTGTTCTTGAGGTGTATAAGAACAATTAAATCTTTTATTACGATATAAATGTTCAAGCTAAACATGAAAGTGTAGTTTTGTAGTTTGACATGTGACATGTTTTATTTTTGTAAATAATTGTTAGGTTGGATTAGGTTAAAACAACTGATTTGCCTGTCTATTCTCTTTAATTTTTGGCATTTTAAATAATTATATTTAGTTAACAACAAATTCTGTAGTTAACACACTATCAAAACTCAAAATTCTATTTCGTGTGAATAAATGAATAAGTTAAAGTAATGGAACCACAAAAAATTGATCTGCTTCTTTTCTGTTTTTCTGCATATGGCCTTTTACTTTGTATTTTGTCATCTTGGTAGCGAAGAGGAGAAGAAATAATTAATTTGTTTTAATAAAAATGTAGTTTAAACATTATATAATATACTATAAAAATTTATATAATAGTTAAACAAAATATATTATAGACATAGTTTTAAAAATTAATATTATTTCTTACCGAATGTTTATTTGGAGCAACTATATATAATGCGTTTGCAATGACGATGAGAAGAAAAACGACACAAAAATGATCCATTTTAAAAAAAATAGATATAGATAGAACTAAACCAGCTTATATATGTTTGCAGGTATTTTTTTAAAATTATTTTTTTAATTAAATATAAAACATTTTGTTTATTGTATATACACCCACGTATTTTCCTTATTTCTCTATAAAATCAAAATTAAACGACTTTTATTCAATCAACACCTTATTCGACAGTTATAATTAATAATTATTCTATATACACGTAATGCAGGTTTCGTTTATAACAGAACCGACGGTAGGTATAGAACTTCAATCAATAATTGGCGAAGAAAAAATTGTTAAAAAAATTGCTCGTTATTGCAATTATCTCGCCTAGACAGATCCGTATTCAAACATTTTTATTCAAATGATTTTTGTACAAGTGCAATCTCTATGTGAAACCTTGGTAAGGAAAAATTTTAATCAGTGTGTTATAAATATTTTTAATAATTATTTTGTTATACAATTACAGATGCGATTTGAGTTTTCAAGCGATAATAGTTGGCAGAAATTTAGGCCCTTAAATAATAACTATGAAAATAAATTATTTTTGATTGTACAAAATTATCTCGTTAGATTGGTCTTTTGGTTCGCTGAAACATTCATTGAGAACACTAGGGTTGTACTATATCTTCTTCGTTTTATCTTAAAGACTACATGAATTCGAAAGACTGGAGGACACTTGGATGAGCTAAGTTACACTCGAAGTTTTTTCGTATTCTGTTTTATATATTTTTTTATTAATATTATCCGAATATTATGAAAGGTAATGTAAAACCGTATTACAAATAATTCTGAGTTCTTTTATATTTTTTAAATTTTACGGTATCTTCTTTAAATTCGTGAATTATAATATAAAACCTCTTGTCGATGTTTTTTGTATAATAAAATCATGTAAGTTTATTATTTTCTTATACCTTTTTTATCTTTGGATTTTTCATTCGAGGAATTTCTTGTAATTACATTGTAATTATTATCTTTCTCACATTTATATCATAACCATCATAACTTACAAGGTCAAAATATACGATGCATAATTTTATTAGACATGGATTTCTATTTAATCTCTTTGAAAGTACCGTCCATGGCTAGCGATGCTTTTATTCCAACGTTAAATCCATGACTGGAGGTATTTCTAGAAGGCTTCTTTTGAAAGTGCATTCAGCTGTTCTATCGTGGCCCTTTTGAGATCAGGGATGGTGTTAAAATGTTTTTTTTATGTACGGTTTTAATTTTTTTGAAGAGCAGATATGGCATAGTGTTAAATTTGGTGAGTAAGGCGGATGTGGAGAGACAGGAACACTTTTTTTGGCTAAATTCTCGCGAATCAAAAGCGAAATATGGCGCTGCGTGTTATCGTGACGAAAAAGAAATAAATTGTTCCATTTTCTGGTCTCTTTGTACATTGTTCTGAAAACGTTGCAATAATAGAAGCAAATGTCCTATTTTACTTATCGATCTACTTTTATTGGACCATAAGCATATGTTATGAAAGAAACTCAATAAAACTGTTATTTTTTATTAAATTTGAATAGGTTAATCCAAATTAATTATCCATTATAACAATTCATTCCCACGGGACATACTCCTCCATTATTGTACCCCTGCCCTCCATTATTGTAACCCCCACCCATTCCTCCATTATTGTAACCCGGTCCTCCATTATTGTAACCCACACCCATTCCTCCATTATTGTAACCCGGTCCTCCATTATTGTAACCCGGTCCTCCATTATTGTAACCCCCACCCATTCCTCCATTATTGTAACCCCCACCCATTCTTCCATTATTGTAACCCGGTCCTCCATTATTGTAACCCCCACCCATTCCTCCATTATTGTAACCCGGTCCTCCATTATTGTAACCCAGTCCTCCACAATTTGCTCCACACGTTCCTGGACCCATTCCTATACCTTGGTCCATTACGCCCGTTCTAAATCTTGCAGCCCTACTTACACCTAATATTCCATTATAATGTCTACCACCAAGCATTTCGAAAAATCTCTTCCTGCCACTTCGTTCATATTTTTTTGACTCAGAAGATTCCAAGTTTTCAGAATGCAATAACTGTTCCTAAAAAGAACATATATGTTTTAAGTAAAATGCATAAAAGGTGATACACAAAAATTTATCTTAAAGTATGACATGATCGACAAAGACAGCGATATGAGTCATGTCAATAATAGATTAAACAAATACAATGATTAAATAAAATATTTAAATAAAATATTTAAATAAAATATTTAAATAACATATTTAAATAAAATGTTTAAATAATATAGTAACATTTTTTGGTTAGTTTTATTTGTATAACATTCCAAGGTTTTAGTTTGTATTAATTCCCTCCCTTCTTTACTTATAATTGTTTTGGTTTAGAATTTTGTCAATATTGATTTCTATTTTTAGTTTAGGTATTGTTTCTAAACGCAATCAGATATTAAGTGACTTATAACTCATTCTAATGTATATCGGGCAAGTGATGTTAGTACGTGGATTGATATATTTACCTATAAATAATGACAGATTCATTTATGTTATTATCAGAAAGTATGGACATATATTATCAAATAATCTACTTAACCTTGGTAGTTCCTATTACCGAAATAAAAATTGTTTCTTTATCTCGAGACTAATATTTTTGTAATACTTTTAAATATAGAATTGTAATTGTAATTTATTTATTATTTTCTCCTCCCTTTCCAAATCCAGTTATAAAAACATTCCGAACATTCATGAAGCCTTAACGTTCCTACCCCTAAGGACTATCGGAGTCTTTAACCAGTTGCCAAAACCTCTCAACTATACCATATTCAGACCTGTAAAGACTGGTAAAAAATTGTTATACAACTGTTGATGTGAACATCTAAAATAATCGTTAGACCTAACCATCGATAGGAGAAATAATTTCGTGTAAGATGTAAAATATTAGACATAAAGGTATTGGTGGGAGAAAAAGATATAAAAGAACACAATAAATTGTGTTTTTTTGTTGTTCTATCCTGTGAAAATGACTACAGTAAGTACTAATCCAAAACATTTAAATTTCACAACCAACTCCAGTTCTTCTTCTCGACACCTCTTTATAAATGCTAGTCCTCTCATCTAGAAATTTCGTAATAATTTTCCTTTTAACATTTTAAATTATTTAAAACTCATGCCATAAATAAAAAAAACTTATTTGGAATAATTATTATATTATTAGAATAATATTATTACTTACAATATTTCCACTTGGAATTGCTCTAAGAGAGGGGTGCATGTCGTACTTATAATACATATTGCTAGCGTTTGTAAAGGCAACGAGAAGAAGGAAAAACACACTTAAAAGCTGCATTTTTAATCAAATAAATAAAAATTTGAAATTAACAACGGTCTGCCAACTTATATATTCTGTGCAGATAATATTTGAATTATTTTTTTAATTAAATATAGTATTTAATCATAAATAATCATGAATATGTATTTTAGTTAATTACTAATTACACGTTTAGTTAATATAAATACAGGTCAGTCTTAAGCAAATCTGCATGTTTATAAAAACAAAATGGCAAGTACCTAGATAATGTTTTATTAAATGTTCACCTTCATTGTAATGGATATTTAACGAATAAGTGTATTAATAAGGGAAATAAGTCGAAAACAATTTGGCAACTAGTCAACATTAAAAAAATATTACTAAAAGCTCCGACTAAAGTATCAAAATCGTTCATCAAAATTAATACATATGCTTATATAAAGAAAAATTAATATTCAACTTAAATTATCTTTCCGAAACCTATGAATGGTGGGAAAGGCGTTCAATCATAGGACCCAATGGGTCAATAAATATTATTATTATTATTAACAATCACGATAAAAATCATTTGGAATTTATGTGTGCTCGCCAAACGAGACGCGAGCACCACATCCATCTTATGATTTTAAACTATAGGGTTTTTGAATTTTAAGAAATTAAATAATGACATACAATGACAGATAGTATTAGCACCTTCTTGATTTCAAATGTATATGTATGTTTGGTTGCCTACACCACAGGTAACTGTCAATATAGATGTATAATAAAAGCAATGTACGTTGGGTTGCATAATATGATAAAATCGTTGATTAATAGAAAATCATTCATTAATAGGGGCCATTAATCAACGATTTTAAGTGCGTTAAAATACATCTTAAATGGTCGGTTGACGGAAATGATTATTAATTTAATGTAATAGATTTTATTTATTGTACACAACGTATCATTAGTATTATCAGTTTAAAACATTTAATTTAATAATTAAATGAAACATACATCATTGAGAATTTTATTATTTTTAATGTTCCATTGATTTAGGTTATGTAACATGTGAATGAATTGCGTCATATTTTTTTTATCAACAAAGTTTTTGTGGTTGTAGACGGCAAATGAAAAATATAACGTTATATGTTTTATCGTCATTAGACCGAAAAATATATTTTTTTAAATGACCTGAATGTATAAGTGCATTTTGGGGTCTAAATTTTTTTCTGATAAGGAAAATAGAATTTTCCAACACCAACATTGATATAGTTTTCAACCCTCTATGAGGCTTGTATGCGAAAATGAGGCACCTAAATAGGTCACTATTTGACGGTTTATTATTCCAACGTTGAATCCATGACTGGAGGTATTTCTAGAAGGCTTCTTTTGGAAGTGCATTCAGCTGCTCTATCGTGGTCCGTTTGAGATCAGGAATGGTGTTAAAATGTTTTCTTTTAAACACGGTTTTAATTTTTTGGAAGAACAGATATGGCACAGTGTTAAATCTGGCGAGTAAGGCGGATGTGGAGAGACAGGAACACTTTTTTCGGCTAAATTCTCGCGAATTAAAAGTGAAATATAGCGCTGCATGTTATCGTGACGAAAGAGAAATAAATTGGCCTATTTTCTGGTCTCTTTTTTCGTACATCGTTCTGCAAACGTTGCAGTAATAGAAGCAAATGTCCTATTTTACTTATCGATTTACTTTTATTAGACCATAAGCATATGTTATGAAAAAAACTCAATAAAACTGTTATTTTTTTTATTAAATTTAAATAGGTTAATCCAAATTAATTAATTATCCATAACAATTCATTCCCATGGGACACATTCCTCCATTATTGTAACCCATTCCTACATTATTGTAACCCATTCCTACATTATTGTAACCCATTCCTACATTATTGTAACCCATTCCTACATTATTGTAACCCATTCCTACATTATTGTAACCCATTCTTCCATTATTGTAACCCATTCCTACATTATTGTAACCCATTCCTCCACCCATACCCATTCCTCTACCCTGGTCCATTACGCCCATTCCTAATCCTGCAGCCCCACTTACACCTAAGTTTCCATTTGAATCTAAGCCAACTCCAAACATTTCGTATAATCTCTTCCTGCCACTTTGTTCGTATTTTTCTGACTCAGAAGATTCCAAGTCTTCAGAATCCCTTAACTGTCCCTAAAAATAACATATGTTTTAAGTAAAATGTATAAAAATTGCTCTTAAAGTAGGACATGATCGACAAAGACTGCGATATGAGTCAAGTCTATAATAAATTAAACAAATACAATGATTATATAAAATATTTAAATAACATATTTAAAATAAAATATAACTTAAAACTTTATATAAATACTATTAAAAAATAACTAAACACGTTTTTTTATAGATTATGTATATTCATATCATTTCAAAATTTTGTATCTAGTGTTACTTTATGATCTGTCCGTCCCCGGTCTGCACTTAAACGCAACAATTCAAGAATAATATTTATTTATTTCATCCCCACCACTCCGTACTCTCCGTAGCAATCATCTTACGTTAAATATTTGTTGGATTTTACCCATCAGAGCCTACCTTTGGAACCATGGTACTTTTATGATTATAAATTTTTTCTCTATTTTGTCTTACTCCAACCATGAGTACGCTTGTTGAGTGATTTGGAATTTTTAAGACTAAACATCAGATTCACCTCTAGAAACCGCGGGTTTAGTTGTACCATCATGGGTTCTCTGAAAAAAGTTCTGCAGAGCCCGGGTTGGCACATCAGAATCACGCTAGTATATTTTTGTTTTGTCTTGACATTAAAAGGATCATTAAACAGATCAATTCATATTAAACATTTATTTAAATTTAACTAACAATTAAATCAAATTTCGGAAACATTTTCTTTAAATTCAATACTAACAAATTTTGATTTCCTTTAACCACCTCCAATCACTCGAATCACACTTGGAGAAACATGTTCCACACTGAGGTGAACGCGCCCTCTCTTGACAATTGACAGGTCAACGTCTTTAAGTGTCGCTTGTCACCACTGTCACATGGAAACAGTCGGTTAAAAATAAAAATGAATGTATAAGCACTGATGATGGCACAATGCCGAAAGCGCTTTCCATTTATTAATTAAAAAGTTTTATGTTATTATCACAAAGCATGGATATATATTATCAAATAATCTACTTAACATTAGTAGTTCATATTACCAAAATAAAAATTGCTTCTTTAACTTGAGATTATTACTTTGGACAGGTAGGCTCATTTTTATGGTATTGAGTTGCTAAGTGATGTAGTCCCCAACAATTAAAACATTTACGAGGTTCAATAGCACAATATACCAGACAGTCAAAATCAAATCCAACAGCCAGTTTGCCTAATTTGATAGCCCTTTGACAGCTTGAAATAATTTAGCATTATTCTTATGAGGTTTAACATTAACAATTTCATAAGTAGAATTATCACTGAAACATGATTTATTTTGAGTCTTTAAGTAGTCCAATAAGGTCGCATCTTCAAATTTTTCTGCCATGTTCGTCACTTCAATTCTTGGATGAAGAGAAGATATTGTCTTGACATTATTCTGCTTTATTACAACTTATTACTAATGCACCATTACGTGTTGTTGTTATGTTCGAAACCTCAATATTAGAATTCATCGGATTGACATTACGTAAATTTTCGTATTTAGTTGTGGAAATATTGTTTTTTGGCTGCAGAATAAACTTGGATTGAG